CTCAACCTCTCTGGGCCTCTGTTCCTTCATTTGTAAAGTGAACACTCCTAGGGTTGTGGTGAAGACTAAATGAGAGACTATATGTTACGTGTGAGGAACGGGGCCTAGAAAGTAGCAAGTGCTCAGTAAATGGTAGAGGTTATTTCCAGGTGTGTGTGTTTGGTACTGAACTATCAGGGCACAGAGGGCTTCTCCTTAGCCCTGGAGGTGCCCTATACTCATGTACATAGCACACCTGTCCACCAAATCCCAGGAGAGGGGAGGAGGAGGATAGAAATCTAAATTTTCTAGCTTGATAAAGGAAAAATGTTAAGCACCTTGGTGAACATTTATGGAGCGCTGACTATGTGCTGATCATTTGGCCAAGCCCTCCCCCGTATATCATCTCATTTAAACCTTCGCACCAGCTCTGTGAAGCAGCTGTTACTATGACCACCATTTTCCACGGGAGAAATGTAGCCATCACAGGCTCAGGCAGCCCACGGTTAGTACAGACCCGAGACCTGACTCATCAGGTCGTCTGGCTCCAGAGTCCACAGCAGCGGCCCCTGCCTCGAGGGGCTGTCACGTGTGAGCCCATTCCCATAGCTGGCTGACTTCGTACGTGGTGGTTTTCGTGCTTTGTTCCGTGACTTTATTTTTTAACTAAAATGCTTAGGTTGTACTTAACGCTGAAGGAGTGAGTAGTCTGGGTTCAGTGACAGATCACTGAGCAGGAAAAGAGATTTTTTTTTTTTCCTAGGCTACATGACTTTGGATGACTTAAGATCATACATCCCTCTGTGTGTGTGTGTGTGTGTGTGTGTGTGTGTGTGTGTGTAAATCTGTAGAATTAGTTTTATTAGCTGATTGCTAACATCCCTTCTTGCTCAAACATGCTTTTCAATCTGAGGGGCAGAGTTCTTCCCTTTAGAACTCATTATAAGACAAGACAGCTCTGGAATAATTTCACACTCGATGGCTATGCCGAGATTGTCACCAGGAAGTTTGCTGTGAACTGAGAGACTTCTTCACTGTCTGCCTTTTCTGAGTTCCGTCCCCAAGGCTCCCGATGTTTTCTTTTCTTTGTTTTTTTTTTAAGATTTTGGGGGGGAATTGGGAGAGGGGAACAGCCAAGTTGTTGTCCTTCAATCTTAGTTGTGGAGGGCGCAGCTAGCTCAGCTCCAAGTCCAGTCGCCATCTGGCTGCCCGTCGGCAGCTCGCGGCTGTTTAGCTCAAGGTGCTGTGGTCAACCTTAGTTGCAGGTGGGGTAGCCCACCATCCCATGCGGGAGTCTAACCGTCAACCTTGTTGTTAGGAGCACGTGCTCTCACCAGCTGAGCCATCCTGCCACCTGTTGGCAGCTCAGTGGCAGCTCAGCTCGGGCGCAGCTCACTGTCCCATGTGGGAATCGAACTGGTGACCCTGTTGCTCAGAGCTCATGCTCTTAACCAACTGAGCCACACAGTCGGCCCCCCAGTGTTTTCTTAATGAACTCCTCTCCCACAGGTGATAGCCAGGTCGTCTCCCCACCTTCCATCTGATTTCCTTTGCTCTCAGCCGAGTAAACTTGGTCCCTGGGACCTCCTGGTAGAATCCTCTTGATCTGTCACTTTGGTCCATCCTGTGCCATTAGAGAAGCCTCAGGAGGACACACCGCCCATCTCTGAGAGGTGCATCCCAGCAGGTGAAACCGAACGCAGGTGATTCCAGGCTCGCCCGTGGGTGGCCTGTTGTGAAGACAGACGTCCTTGCGAGGTCTTCCAGGAGCACCAGTGAGCCCTCGTGGTTCTGTCACTTCTGCACAGTGTCTTTTTGAGGCAGTAAATGTTCTCAGATCCTTCATTGGGATCCATTTGGAGGGACCTGGCGAATCGGGAAAGGTTAAGAATGGCAGGTAGTTAAGAGTTTGCACTGGATCCATCCAAACCTGGGTTCAGGCCCAGGACTGCCAGCTGTGTGACTTCGGGAAATTTACTTAACCCTCCTGTGACTCATCCCCTGCATCTGTCCAATGTGTGTTAGAAGAATCGGATTCCTGGTTAACTAACAGCTGCCACTTCCTGGTTGCCGGACAGGCACGGCTGTTCTCCTTCCCTTTATGTGTTCACTCAGTATTTATTGAGCACCAGCTGTATGCAAGGCACTGTTCTAGGCATGGAGGTGATAGCAGTGAACAGAAATAGACAAATATCTCTGACCCCTTTGGGCGTATGTCTAGTAAGGAGAAATAGACAGCGAACGAAATGAATACCTTGTGTATGATATTGAAGGTTTAAAATGCTATGGAGAAAATAAAGCGTGAGAGGGTGGCCAGGGGTGGGGGGATGTCACCACGTGTAGGAGGGAGCTGATGGTTGGGCCTGTCCCTTGCTTGGAACTGTGCACCAAACCCTGTGCAGGGACCTTTGTAGACGTCACCCGTCACACTTCCACAGCTGACGTGGGAGGTGTCAGGCAGGTGTCACGGGGCCCACCCAACAGATGAGGAAGCTGGCGTTCGGGGAGGTTAAGCCAGCCCCCCCTCTCACAGCCTGTGAAGGCAGAGGCAGGATTCGTACCCAGGTCCGTTGCTGTCTGGTTTTCCATGGTTCCCCCTGTTGACCCACCCAGTTGCCCCAGGTAACCAAGTCAGCAGGAAATGAAATGGAAGGGAGGAGAGTGTCATGGTCACCTCCTGTGTCTGGGCCCATTGCTGCGAGTCAGTCTGCCTTCCACCCCTCAGGTGAGAGAGCCATGCACCCTTTACTGTTTTGGAAAAGGCACAACCACGGTTCTACCGACTTAACCTTGATTTCCAACCTTCGCCTTTTCAAGTCATGGCAAACGCACAGAGCAGGTGAAAGAGCAAAGCACTCCCCAAGCTGCCGATGCCTTTCACCCGCCAGGTACTCAGACTCTGGGCCTCTGCCCGCTTCTCCCAGCCCAGACCCAGCTCCCGGGAGCCCCTCTCCATCCAGGAACTTTTCTGAGACCTTGGGAATCAGTTGTGTCTATTTTTACTCACAATTAAAGCATGCATTTGCAGCTTATCAGCTTTGGAAGGCAGTAAATACAGCCACCAATCTCCGAAGCCCATGAATATTTCATTTTGCAGATTACTGCATAAATATTGTATTTAGATATTATGGTCTGGGACATCACATTAAAATTGCAAGACGATGCTATTATCCCATATAATGGAACATGAAATTAAAAAACTGGTCCATGGAAAGAAAAATTTTGCAAGTCCTCGTGCTTGGGTTTCTTTGCTCTCTCTCGGTTAGTCTTGGGTACCATGTAAGTTTTGATAGAAATGATCTGAAGTGTAAAGTGTTGGGCATGGCAGAATGCACTGACTGGACATTAGTGTATAATTAGCACCAGCCAAAGTCAAGGTGGGATTTTATTTTCCTAAACTCGGGGCTCCTTGTAGTCAGACAGTTGGAGCTGAGTCTTGTGTCTGTGGGGTGATATGATGAGTATAATGAAAACCTTCACGAGGTCACTCCCCCCCAAAGAAAGCCCCAGCCCCTTTGGCCACATGAGACCAAGCTTGGATTTTGCACATGGGAAGATGCGTTAGGGAAGGAACAAGACCAAGATGTGGTGTGCCTGGTTCTGGTTGGTTTCTATAGACACGGAAAGCAGTTTGGAGGTTGCCAGGGGCTGGCAGAAGGGGGACTGGGGAGTGACTGCTCATGGGTACGGGGTCTCCTCCACATCATGAACTCTTGTGAAACTAGATGGAGGTGATGGCTGCACAGCATTGACAAGGCACTCTATGCCATTGGACTCTGCACTTTCAAATGCTCGATTTTTATGTCGAATGAGCCGGAAGAGCAGCAGGATCCTGGAGACCTCCAGACTAAGCTCCCATCCAGGCAACTTGCGCCTGAGGAGCAGGGGTCATCCTTAGTCCCCCTGGCCCTGCACCAGGGCCATCTCGATGCCCGGCACGTAGTAGGTGTGCAAGAAATGCTCACTGCAAGTGCGCTGAGTGTGTGGGCCGGAACGCTGGGCTCTAGCTCCGTCCAGCCTCCCAGCAACACCTATTTCACCAGCTCTTTGACCTCTGGTTTCGGCATCTACACAAGACAAAGTGCCAGCTGTGCAGCCTGCCTTGCAAAATTCCCTATGCATATGGAATTTTGCATACATATATACACACATATATATCCATATATACACACACACACATACATGCACACTCTAGTGCAGGAGTTATCCATCGGGGGTTCCTGGACAGAATTCAGGGGGCCGTGACTTTGAATGAGAAGAGATGGTCTTTATTTTCGCTGAGCGCTCACTGAAATCTGGCTAACTGTAGGGAACAAACCACTGTAGCAGCGCAAGCAGGAACCGCTCGGAATCCCATATTTTCCTATCACATTATAATTCATGCACATACCCCTAACTATCATTTATGCTCACCGCTTCTTCACAATTACAGCGGCTATTAGACCGGCCACAAATCTCATTATTTCATGTGTTAGGAAGGAAACACACGTAATTATCATAAATTTGGTGTTTTAAAAAAAATATTTTTGTAATCCTGTATGGAAAGTGCAAATCAAAAGGCCCTTGAATGCCTGTATCCTAATTTTTGTGCTTTTAAAAACATTTTGTAATCCTGTATTTTATAAGAGCGTTATTCTGAGATGAGGGTCCACAGGCTTTGTTCGTCCAAGGTGTCTGTGGCGTGGAAAGGTGATTTCACAGTCCTCTCGAGAGGAAGTAAGTGTCACAGATATGATTGTAGGTGCCACCTAATTGTGCGGTGGGCAGCACTCTGAGGCTCAGTGTCCCCACCTGTAAAATGGGTGTCATGATAGTACCTGCCTCGGAGGGGCAGAGTGACCTGCCTCACTTGTGAAGCCCGAGTGACAAGCTACATGCAGAGCCCCTAGCTCTGTACCTGGCACACAGCAGGAACTCAATCGATGCCTTTACTGCTGTGAGTGTGCCATGTCCCTCGGCCTCTGGGTGGCACTCCCTCTTTCGGGGCATCTTTGGGCTAAGGGCCTCTGGGTCTCTCTCAGGTTCATCCGGAAGCAGGGCCTGGACCGGCTCTTCCTGGAGTGTGACGCCCACATGTGGCGCCTGGGGGACCGGCGGATCCCGGAGGGCATTGCCGTGGATGGCGGCTCCGATTGGTTCCTGCTGAACAGGAAGTTTGTGGAGTATGTGACGTTCTCCACCGACGACTTGGTGACCAAAATGAAGCAGTTCTACTCCTACACGCTGCTTCCTGCTGAGGTGAGTGTCTGGCAAACAGTCTTGAGAAAGGTGGGGGCTGGTGCTAATCTCGAGCCAAGCGGATACTGCGTTTTTGGCAGAGCGATGCTGGGTCCCTTACATAGTCCTCCAAACCTCCAGATGGAGACAGGGAACTGTACGGGCTACGAGCGACCTTGTCATCCAGCAGGGCCCGTGGTCTCCCTCAGTGCTGCCACCCACAATCCACAGCGTCTTTATGCAAAGTCGACAAGGCCCTTCCTCAAGACACTTGGCTCCCGTGGTCATAAAATCATCACGATATACTGATTTTGTTAGACCAAGACACTGCCATTTTCTAGGAAACTGATGTAAAAAAAAAAAAAACAAACCTCTGATATCTACATGGTTGAGGGTATCCCTCCCCAGAGTTGTGCAGTGCACAACCCACACAACTGTACTGCTATATGCGCGCCCTTGCAAGACACACCCACGTCACCTTCACAGCTCCCCTGCAGTCATTGACCATGCAGTAACAACTTTGTCAACACCAGGAATCCCTTTTTTAAGTATGAATGTTGTTCTGTCATTTCCCGACAGACAGACAGCAGCACTGGCCTCACCAGTTACACCAGACATGCCAGTGGCTCCAGAGGCAGCCGGCCATGGCTTCTGCTGGACACGCACGAGGCTCCTGCACTGACGGCCATCACGGCCAAGTGCTTGGGGCTCAGCGTTTCCTGCTGGCTTTCGAAGTTTTGGAAAAGACACCACTTTTCAGACCTGAGGGTGGGAAGTTCGGGCTACACAGTATGATTGGCTAGGTGATTTGTAAACGCCATACGTTAACTTCTCACAGTTCTGGAGACCAGGTGTCCGCGAGCAGGGTGCCAGCGCGGTCCAAGGGCCCTCTTCTGGGCTGCTGACTGCCTACTGACAGCTCTCTCTCCGTCCTCACATAGCTGAAGGGGTGAGGGATCTTTCTGGGGTCCCTTTCCTAAGGGCGCTAACTCCTAGTCATCAGGGCTCCACCTTCACCTCCTAATGACCTCCTAACACTATGATATTGGGGAATAGGGTTGCGACCTGTGAATCGTGGGAGCACCCAAACAAGCTCAGTCCATTTCAGGAACCCAGCTGTGTGAGCCTGCAGGCTGTTCTGAGACAGCCCCTGCCCCACCTGGAAGCGGGTGGGGACCCCGTGCTGACGTGTTGCCTCTGACATGCCAGCAGCCCCCTTATCAGACCTGGGCTGAGCGATTCTAGTTTCCTGACCTCCAGCTCACTTTCGTGCCAGTTTCCAACTTCAGGAGATCCAGAGCTGGCTCTGTTCCTTTGAGCCCCTGACCCCACCCGTGAAGGGTCCCTGTGCCTTCCTGGCTATGCCCCATCCCTGGGCCGCTCAGGTGGTGTGTTTCCAGGCCAGACGAGACAGTGTATCTCATTTGATGATCTCCACGTCCCTCACCAGCATCCCAGGCAGTGCCAAGCTCTGGGAGGGATGATATGGGCTTGTGATCAGGTTTTGCTATTCTGCACACGTTAAGTAATCAGCTTTTAATCCCGTTTCAGCGAAAATCACCTTTTCTCTCAATTCCGGTAACCTCCTCATCCATTATCTTGAAGGGAATTTGTGTATCATTGTGAAGGGGGACACAGAGCAGTCGGTCATTGGGTGCTTTTCCCCACCACTTGATGGAGAATATGCACCTCTGTGGGCTTGTAGACAGTTCGAGCTTAAAATCCAGGTTCCCAGGCACATCACTTAGCACCAAGGAAAGTGAGCTGGGTTTGGTGTGAAGCCGCATTTTGCCCACCCACCCACCCACTGAGAACAGACTATTTGAGGCTTTGATTGTGTTACTCAAGATGCACATCCGGTGCTGCCTGCCGCTCTCGACCCCTGCCTGGCACCCACAGGCACAGCACACTGCCAGCCCCTGCTAGCCCCACCTCCTCCCTTCCAGGTCTCCGCCTTGCCAGCCTTCCTCCCAGACCACCTCCAGGGTACCTGTTCTGAAGAAATCTGAAAGCCGTGCCATAAATTTATAACAGGCACACGTGGATGCCCCAGTACTTTCCCCTAGGGAGCAGAGAGCAGGGGAAAAGTATCTTCTGGAATCGGGGGTTGTTATAAAACAGTGTCCAAATAGAAGTCAGCCTCTGCCTGCCTCTCCCTCTCCCCCTCCCCTCACTGTCAGCATTGCTTCCTTCTCAGATTCCTAGGAGAGGGTGGCAGAGAGTCTTGGGAGTAGGGGAGAGGATGGCGCCAGGTTCAGCACCATGGACAGCGAGCAGCCACCCCGACACCTCCCGGGGTTGTAGTCACACTCCTCCAGCCCCTAAGGCAGGTGGGCCCCCGGGATGCCTTCCAGCCCCGGGCCTGCTGCACCCCTGGATCTGACCTCCCTTGCCCAGGGGTGAACAGCTAAAGCACCAGTTTTTGTTCTCAAGGTATCTCAGAGCTGAATCCCTTTGGTTTCTGACCTGTTCACAAAGCAAGAGCCTTTGGGCCCAAGGTTTTCTTGCAAAATTATTCCCAGGATTTTGTCCCGCTGGTCCCCCTGTGTTGACATGCCCTGGGGGACATTTTTCTCTCAGCTGAGCAGACGGGAGATGTCCTGGGTGATAAGAGGTGTCTTGAAATCGGATCCCAGGCTGCTGGAGAAAGACAATTAGAGAAACAGTCAGAACGTTAGACTTCTGAGCAGGACTGGCCCGCCCTGGACAAAACATCCAGGGTACCCTGAGCAGGACCCGAAGGCAGAGAGAACAGACGAGGCTCCAAGAGGGTCTCTTCACCGTCGGGGGCTGGGGGGGGGGTCCCAGGGCAGGAGCCCCGCCGCAGCCCTCTCCAGGGAGGCCGTGAGGGCTCAGGCTGGTCTCTCTCCCCGCAGTCTTTCTTCCACACGGTCCTGGAGAACAGCCCCCACTGCGACACCATGGTGGACAACAACCTGCGCATCACCAACTGGAACCGCAAGCTGGGCTGCAAGTGCCAGTACAAGCACATCGTGGACTGGTGCGGCTGCTCGCCCAACGACTTCAAGCCGCAGGACTTCCACCGCTTCCAGGTGAGCCCCCTGCCCCCCACCCTCGCCAGCCTCTGCGGGACCCGAGGCCAGGCCTGGCGGTCCCCTCGTCCTGCAGCTCCCAACCCTGGCTGTCGACAGGAGGCAGCATCTAATGGTCACTTACTCCACGCCGGGAGGAGTCCAACCACTTCGCCTGTATTGACTCCTTCACTCATTCACCCCCAACAGCCTTATACGACAGCTAGCTAGCTAGCTAACTAGATAAACAGAGGTGATGATAATAATTATTATAATTGTAACAATGACTGTCATTATTATTCCATTTTAGAGATAGGGCCACTGAGGCACAGAAAGATCAAAAAGCTGTTCAAGGTCACACAGTCCAACGTAGCCAGCTGTTTCCGAAAGCCATACTCATATCCATTTCTTTATACTGCCTTTCAATCAGAATTCCCCGAAATATTTGTTAAAAACACATTTCTGGGCACAAACTTGAGACAATCTAGGGCAGAGTTTCGGCACTCTTTACACTGTGGCTGGATAATTCTTTGCTGTGTGCAGGGGTGTCTCCCGGGCACTGTAGGATGTTTAGTGGCCTCCACCCACTAGACCTAGCAGGCCCCCTGCAGTGGTGACAACCGGAAATGCCTTCAGACATCGCCAGATGTCCACGGGGGCAAACTCAGCCCCCGCTGAGAACTACCGATCTCCGGGCAAGTCCAGGAATTTTCCTTTTTAGTTTATTACATTTTGGAAAAATCTGAAGGGCAGCTAGCGCATTCTGTCAACCTAGAGGAGCCACAAGAGGTTCAGGCATCATTGCCTTCATGGGCATCTCTGCACCGCCCAGTTGTCCCCAATTCTGGGGACAGCAGAGGCGGGAAGGTGACGAACGCTCCCGAGGAGGCTGGGCCCCCAAATTTGCCCAGCATGGCATTCTCTCTCCATCCTGTGTAAGCACCCCTCCCGCTTCCTCCTCTCCCCCTCGCCTGGCCCCCACCCCAGCTGCAGAGAGCACAAGCTGAAGGCTACAAAGTGGTTAAACACAGCACCGTGAGGTCACCAGGGCCACCAGGTGGAGATGGTATGCAGCTTCCAAACCGCTAGCTTGGAGGGAGGGTAGGCACAACGGTGCCAGGCTGGTGACCGAGTCCAAGGCATCTCACTGAGCCGTCCAAGGGCGCTCCTGGGCTGCCCGCCTGGAGCTCACAGCCTCTCAGCCTGGCGCCCCAGCGTGTGGTCCCCAGACCAGCAGCAGCAGCAGCACCAGGGAGGGAGTGCATTAGAAATGCAGAGTCTCAGGCCCCACCCGGACCTGCTGAGTCTGAATCTGCCTGTGAACACAATCCCCAGGACACTGGGAGGCTCTTTGTGTTTGAGAGGCATGGGGTAGGGACCTGCTGTGTGCCAGGCTGTGCGCCAGTCCCATTGTGGGCACCAGCTTCACTCGGGTAGACATCACCTCCATCGTGCAGGTGGGGAAACTGAGGCACAGAGTGGGCAGCTTGCTTATTCATGGGCACGCAGTTGGTGGCATGGGAAGTCCTGCCCAGGTGTCTGCAGCTCCTGCCGAAAGTCTTGCCTCTGTAAGCGGCTCCTGGAATGAGTATTCTTTTTTAAGACCTGTTTTGGTGGCAGGTTGAGAGCTACCCAGGGACTTCCTCAAGCCCATGTTAATTTAGGCATAAACCTGGGTGACATTTTCACTCCATTGTTCATGCAGAAAGGCTCTGCTGAGCAGGACGAGGGCTGCAGGGAGAATATGTGACCTATTCCAAAGGAAAAAAAAGAATTCCCACTTCTGTAAAGGACCAGTCATTGCCCTCGCTGCCAAAACTCATCATTTAGTACACAGCCGGGGTGGTTCTTAGAAGCTCGGCCCTCTCGGCCTCTTGTGGGCGGCAGCATTTGTATGCCAGCCTCAGCATCTGGGGACATCGTGGTCCCTGAGAAAGACTGGAGAACACAGAGACAGCGGCATGTGCTCACAGCTCTTTCTTGCATAGTAATCAAAGATCAACAATATCCCCCAACATCTAGAATCAAGAAACCACTGTCTATAAGGAACTCGGGGTTCTTGTTCAAAGAACTGCGAGGAAGAGAACGATAAATATAGAAACATGCCCTTTTAGAAGATCCAGATGTGATCAAAGCATTGCGGACAAGGCAAGGGGGCTACCCTGCCTCTGGGTCCAGTTCTCAGCCCCCAGAAAACGAAGATTTAGATGCCCCTGGTAGTAGGCTCAAGAGGGCTGCTGGTAACAGATAAGAATAGCGTCTAACACGCTCTGCTGGACTAGGCTAAGTGTCCTTGTTATTATACCCATTTTAAGGATGAGATAGCTGAGGCCCTGGGGGATGTGCCCAAAGACATGTACAACTGGAAAGCAGCAGAGAGGCTTCAATGCAGGTGGCCTGTCATTTCAGTGTTACTGTGAGGGGACTAAGCTGACCCCTCCACCACAGAGGCTCAGGGTCCCACGGGTTCATGAAACAGAGAAGACAGGACGTTCAGATTAATACAAAGCGAACTTGTAACCAGGGGCTTTCAGTTTCCTCCATGCAGAGCTGGGTCCTAGGACGGTGCAGCCGAAAGACCTGGGGTTTCAGGGGCATCAGATCTGAGCTCAGACCTTCCAGCTGTGTGAGTTCGTACATGGCACTTCCCTCCTCTGTAAAATAGGAATCCTAACACCTGCTTTGCAGCGTCGTTGGGGGGGATTAAAGGTGACGATCTAAACACAATGCCCTGCACATACGAGTCTGTGCTCCGTAATTATCGTCATTGTTGTTGCTGTGAATCCACTGTAGCAAAAACAGTGCTAGACCCAAACTTAGGAGTAAACTAGACAGGTTTACTCGAGAGAGTAAGCTCTTCAAGAGAGGGGGCTGCGTTTGAATTGTTTCTGTAGCTCTAGACCTGGGGTCCACAAACTGCAGCCCCTGGGCCAAATCCAGTGCACTGCCTGCTTTTGTAAATAAAGTTTTGTTGGAACACAGCCACACCCATTCATTTATGATTCTGTCTGTGGCTGCTTTCATACTACAGCAGCAGAGAGGAGTAGTTGCAAAGCTGGAAATATTTATAATCGGGCCTTCTACTGAAAAATTTTGTTGATCCCTGCCCAGATTATAGCGTAAGATGTAGTAGATAATGGGTGCTCAGTATTTTATTTCTTTAATCCTGGTCCCTGAATCTTAATCGTGGCTCTGCCGTTACCGTGCTGTGTGACCTTGGATAAGTCTCTTTCCCTCTCTGGGTCTCAGTCTCCTTGAAAACTCGGCTTACACAAATGGTCCTCAAACACTGCATCATAATCACCTGGGAAGCTTTTTGTCTACAGATTCATAAACCTCGTCTCCAGAGATGTGGACTCTACTGGGATGCCCTGGGGGCATTAGGGAATGGCGGGGACTGTGGGGAGCTGAAGAGATCTGCCCCGTCTCCAGGGACAGCTGCTGTTTCGCTTTAACCAGCTGTTCCCATGTAGAAACACGGCCCCAGGGTGCCGGACCTATTTGTTTACAGGGAAGCCAAAAATTGTTTCTGTGAACTTGTCTGCTTCTTAAATGCTGCCAGCTAATTCAATTTTAAAACACTCTGCCGGACAATTAAAATATACCCGTAGGCTGTGTGTGCCCTAGACCTCTGGCTAAACGATTTCTGAGATCCAGCTCAGCTACAAACACCTAGGATATAATTTATTTAAGAAACGTTTCAACGATGCTTCCCGCGTGCCCATCATGGCTCGAAATGCTTTACAAATATTAGCTCATTGCATCCTGACGCCCTTACTGCTGTCTCCATGGTACAGTGGAGGAAACGGGGAACAGGGAGGGTAGCGTGTTGGTCAGCGCTGGCATCTGCAGGCTGGCTGGCTGCACGCCCTGCTCCAAGCCCCCGCCGCACCCCACCCGCTGAAGCTGGTCTTTTTCTCCCTTGAGCGCAGCAGACAGCCCGGCCCACCTTCTTTGCCCGCAAGTTCGAAGCCGTGGTCAATCAGGAGATCATCGGGCAGCTGGACCACTACCTGTACGGGAGCTACCCGGCGGGCACCCCGGGCCTGCGCTCCTACTGGGAGAACGTCTACGACGAGCCGGATGGCATCCACAGCCTGAGCGACGTGACACTCACCTTGTACCACTCGTTTGCCCGCCTGGGCCTTCGACGGGCTGAGACATCACTGCACACGGAGGGGGACAACAGCTGCCGGTGAGCCAGGGGCGGGGGCGGGGCCATGGGGAGCGGGGGCGTGGCCGGGGCGTGGCCGCCGGGGGAGTGGGCGGGGCGGAGACCATCACCCAGGACCTGCTCTGCCTTAGAGGCCGCATCTCCCCATACTTCTCCGTCTCTCCCTTTGCCTGATGGGCACACACACGTCCAGGGCTCGGAGCCTGTCCGGTCTAAGCGCCATCACACCTGCACCTTTTCAGAACACCAGATCTGATGTTTCCAGCTGCTTCCTTTCAGTGGGCTCCTTCTTTATGCAAAGTGGATGTATTTTAGAAGGAAGCTCTAGGTCACCTCATATAGTTGTGTTTGTCTTAAATGGGAGGTAACCATGAAAAAAAATAGACCTTTCTTTTCACTTCTTGTTATGGAAAATGTCAAATATATCCAAAATAGGAGTGTAACCCCACCCCCTGCTCCCCTCACCCAGCTCTAGCAGGGACCGCTCAGGGCCAATTCTGGGTCACCCCCTCCCTCTGCCCCCAAATCAGCTTGATTGAGGCACATCCCAGACAGTGGCATATCATTTCAGCCATAAATATTTTAATATGGACCTCTGAAAAATACACTTTTAATTTTTTTTTAATTTTTAATTTTATTAAATTTATTGGGCTGACATTGGTGAATAAAATAGGTTTCAGGTGTACAGTTCTCTAATATACCACCTGTACACTGCATTGTGTGCTCACCACCCAGAGTCAGTTCTCCGTCCGTCACCATGTACTTGGCCGCCTTTACCCTCATCTGCTTCCTGCTCCCCACTTCCCCTCTGGTAACCGTCATGCTGTTGTCTGTGTCTATGAGTTTTTATTGTGTGTTTGTTGCTTTCAGTTTTATATCCCCCAGATGAGTGAAATCATATGGTTCTTGACTTTTTCCATCTGATTTATTTCGCTTAGCACGATATTCTCAAGATCCATCCATGTTGTCACAAATGGCAGTGTTTCATCTTTATTTATGGCCAAGTAGTATTCCATTGTGTATATACACCACCCCTCCTTTATCCAATCGTCTATCGAAGGACACTTCGCTTTTTCCATGAAAGACTCGTTTTTAAAACATAGCCATGCTATCATCACCACACCTAAAACTGGAACCAAAACCATCGTTCCAATGCACTGTGATTTAAAACATTCGGGGGACTCTTAGAACCATCTCACCAACCACTAGTAGGTACCAGTTGACATTGAGGAAAGAAGGTTCTAGAACATATGGAAGGAAGAGGGGAAGGTAGGAAAACAATTCAACCCCACCCCCACCCCCGGGCCTTTCCCTGGGGGAAGTGGCCTTGGCATCATAACATGAGCCCCCTGTTCCCCTGCAGCTCTGCAGCTTCCATAACGCAAATGATCCTTCCTAAGGCCACTGGTATTCCAGTAGAAACTCCAGAGTTTGCTTAAGCCAGCCCTCGCTGTAGCTATTGTCAGTAATGGGCCACTGTAAATAATGTCCTGATGACTATCTTTTTACAGAAAACCTCTTTTACTTCTTTCTCTTTTCTGATTATTGTTTAGGATGCATTTCCAAAAGTGCCTCTGATCACTCCTTCTGTCTCTCCTTCTTCCTTCTCCTCCTCCCAACTCCTTTTCAAAGCAGAAAAACAATTCACATCCGTCTCTCTCCTGAGCCTTCCCTTGTGTGCGCCTCCTTCCTACTCATCTCTCTTAGGAACTATTTTGTTCCCTAAAATTCTGAAAACATGGGAAAGTTTCCAGGCTGGGGCCTCGCACGTAGCCAGCTGGGTTTCCTCAGCGCTGCAACAGTTTTTCATGATGTCCTCGTGGCCCCAGCCTTGTCCCCTCTCCCGGCAGTTTCCGCCTTAGTTCGAAGGGAGCCCAGTGTGGGTTGGGACCCCAGGGCCTGCAGTTGGAACTCAATTCTCTTGGCCTTGGACAAGTCATTAACCTCGCTGACCCTCGTTTGTGAAACGGGAATAATCATAAGCCTTACAGCTTAAGCTGCTGGGAGGTTTAAAGGAAACAATCCCCCACAAAAAGATCTCATGAGTTATGTGTTATTAACCCCATTTTAGCAGTTTTACATATAAAGTGCTGAGTGGGTGTTCTTGCCATGAAGCTGCCAAAAGCAGTCAACAGTCAAGGGTGAGCCCACTGTGTGAGCTGGAGAGCCTACTGTGTGAGCCGCACGCTCCATAACTGGTCCTATGACCTACTCCCTCCGTGCTTTCCTTTGCTTCCTGCTCCTGCTATCCCCACACAGCCGGCCCTTTCCCTGGCTTTGGGGTCCATCTGAACCCCCCACATCCACTGTGAAGCTTGCTGTGTGCTCCCCCTGAGAGCCTGCCCCCTCCCTCTCCCAAAGCTTAAAGTAACTCAGAGACTTACCTCCAGCCCCCCCATTGGAGTAGCAGCAGTGGCTTAGGTCCAGGTCCCTCCCCGTTAGTCTCGGGGGAGACCCCTCCCCACAGAGTACGAATCCCCTGTCCAGAGCACAGAGCCCACACTTGGCCACTGACTGTCGTTCAAGATTAGTTTTAATCCCAGGCTTCACAGAACCTATACGATAAAGGATCTTATAGGAAATTCCAGGAGACACCCCCGATTTGTTTAGGGTTGTTGAAATTTTCTCCTGGTACTTGTTTGGGGAGTAAGCGAGCCATCAAGGAGCCTCAGGCCTGGAAGCCTTTGACTTCTTGCTCGTTTTTTATTCTAATAGAACCGCCGTGCCTTGCTGTGGGCAAAGCCGATGTATTTATGAATCCGAGCCCGCAAATAGATCAGGACGAAGGGCCCTTATCCCAAAAGGCAAAAGACAGTGAGTTCCTGCCCTCCCCCCGCCCCCGGGGGATCTGGGGGAACAGCCAGCAAAAACTTGATTTCAAGTGTCATTTTCTCTAGGCATTTCATGCAAATGGTGTCGGTGGTATAACCTTTCATAAACACCATGTTTATTGATTTTTTTTCTCATTATAAGATAACTCATGTTCATTGTGAAAATTTTCGAAATGGCAGATTGAGAGAATAAGAAAATCAAGTTTGCTTGTGGGCCACCCTGCAGAGATAGGACATCAGTCTTTTGTCATGGGGCTCACATTCGCGTTCCCTCCTGGGCCTGTGCTGGCCCCTGCAGGGTGGGCTGACCGTGCCGACACGCAGCCCCGGTGGCCCCTGCGCCTACTGGAACATAGACCGGAAGTTGCCAACCACTTTTCAAGACAAATCAGAAATCTAGATTTTTGTGAGTCCCTCATTTTTTCAATGCCCACCGTATTTAAATAAGACAAAAAAAACGCCCACTTTTGGCCCGCGGATGCATCTGTGACATCCGTTAGGCTCTGTCGTGTTGCACCTGGTCTGTTGTGTTGCCTCCAGTTATAACTACCTCCCTCCTCAGTTTTAATTAAGAGCCATCTACAGTCAAGACAGGGACCGGAAGGCTTTGCGTTCAGTCCTGGGTTACATGTATCCGAGACCTACTTTAGAAGCAAAGGGTTCAAGAGAAAAGCCTTCTAGAGTTTTCACTCCATCAACAAGTATTGACTGAGCATCTGCCCTGTGTCAGGCTCTGTCTTGGGCCCTGGGCACTCAGCCCTGAGCTCAAGGCCTTCCCATTCCAGTGTGAAGACACACAGTACCTAAGCACGCATAAATAAGAACAAAAGATTACAAGGGACAAATGCTGTGCTGAGGATGAAGGGAAATTCACGTGATGGCAATGAGTGGGTGACATGATTCAGCCATCAAGGAAGATCTCTCTGAAGTGGTGACATTGAGGCAGAACGTTACCATAAGACAGAGCCAGCCATACAATCCTAAGAGGAGAAGGGCCTTCCCAGCAGCAAGAATATCCTGTGCAAAGGCCCTGAGGTGGAAATGAGCTTAGCATTGTTCAAGAATCCAAAACAATGTCTATGTAAAATCCAACATAAGGTCCACGAGGCTAGAAGGTGGTGGTCTGGGGCCAGAGGAAGCGGCAGGGCTTAGCCGAGTTTGGACTTGATCGTAGCAGAGCCACTGGTGGTATGTAAGCAGGGGACGGTGGGTATGGCTCCTATGACAGTAGGTTACAGAGGACAGAAGTAGGAGGGAGACAGGAAGTGCCTACAAAGGTCTCGGCACGACGGTGGCTCAGACCAGGATGCTGGCAGTGGCTGGAGCGCAGAGGATGGATTCAGGCGGAGACAGTGGGATTCCTGATCGAGGGCGAGCGGAAGCAGAGACTAGCTAGCTGCTGGGTTTCTGGAGGGCTCCCCACTGCTCGTTTACCTGACCCCTTAGCAGCACCCAGTACAAGGGACTGCTCCCTCCTGGAAACACTCTCTTCTTTCTTCACCACGCCAACAAGCTCCCCGGCTTTTCTTCCACCGTCACTGACCCCGCCCACCTGAGAGAACATTATTTATGTGTTGCAATAATGCCGTGTGACAAGCCCCACGTCAGTGTTTTGAAATGATAAGCATTTACACAGTGCTCACGTTTGCAGGTCAGCTGGGCAGTGTTCTGGTGTCAGCTGGTGTCTCCTGCTGCAGGTCAGGGGTGGGACTGGAGCAGCTGGGGTGGCTGTGCTGAACCCCAGTGTCTCATCCTCCAGGCGTGCAGGGGGAGCAGAAGCAGGAGATAACCAGTCTGTATATTATGATCCCAGCCAAGTGAGATTTATGCAAATAGATGCATAGAAAATAAGGCCGGAAGGAAATACGTCAGTATGGCCTCATTTGCACGCCGCTGTCACTCCCCATCACCTGGCACCACAGGGTCAGTGACATCTGTGACTTGACATCATCTATGCCAAGAGACATCAAGAGTAGCAATTTTATTTTCTTTACTGTGCCTTCATTCAGTCAGCATGCTTCACCTTTGTAATCAGCCAAAAAGTTATCGTTAATGCTCACTGAGATCATAGGCACCCAGGGAGCGCTTTCAGAAGTAGTGATAAACACTGTGTAACATGGGGTGCATTTTAGGAGCCCTACCGTGAGCCTACACACCTCTGGCCGTGACCCATGAGCGCGCCTGAGACCCTGCGTGTTTTCCAGGTACTACCCAATGGGCCACCCCGCATCCGTGCACCTCTACTTCCTCGCTGACCGCTTCCAGGGTTTTCTGATCAAGCATCACGCTACTAATCTGGCCGTGAGCAAACTCGAGACGCTGGAGACGTGGGTGATGCCAAAGAAGGTCTTCAAGATCGCAAGCCCGCCCAGCGACTTCGGGAGGCTTCAGTTTTCCGAGGTAAGAGCCCCTGGCACGGTCACACGTGGTGGGCTTTTGTGGCCCCCTTGCTGGGCTGTGTTCCACCATCTGACTCCCACAGGTGACGATGGAGGAGAAGGGGTTGGAACTGGCATCTTAAACAGGGCGGGAACCAAGGGATGGGGCTGCTCAGCACCAGTGGACCAAAGCACCCTGGAGCCTGGCCTGTTCCTTCTGGTAGAACCTCTGTGTCTTTTAATGTGTGTATTCTAACCAGTGACTCCTCCTACGCCTGTGTTAACAGCTGACCGGTCGGTAACCAGCGTGGTGACATTGCTCCCATTTTACAGATTGGAGAACCGAGGCCAGTGGAGATCCAGTGATTTTTCTGGGTCACAGCTAGGAAGTGGGAGAGCTCGAAATTGACCCCAGGTCTCTAAGGCTGCAAATACCATGTTTATTTGTGGTTTTGTCTCCCCTGTTCCTGGCACAGGGTTTAGTTCAAAATAAGCACTAGGTTAATCATTGAATGAATGAATGAGTGGGTGGATGGATGGACAGTGGGCTCTCTGTGTGGACTGAAGCATGGATTGTGGGATGCAGTTCCCCCCTCTGCAGTCCAGCGTCAGCTTTGAGTCATTTTTCTGCCTGGGGAGGTGGACTTACCCAGAATCACCCCCTGTAACACGAGCCCACCTCCAGCCCTGATCTGCCCTCTGGGTGCATGTCCACCTCATCCAGTACCGCCCTCCTCCCCACTCACACTGCGTGAGGCAGGGGCGTGTGCTGATGCCCCTGCCCCGAACGCTTCCCCGGGCTCCCCCCTTTCCTGTCGTTCTGATCTGACCCCAGACTGCACCTTCAGAGCGCTCCTCCTGCCCCCCGCCACCCCCCACACTCATGCCACAGTCGCTGCACCCTCCACCCGACACACCGCTCTTCTGTTCGTCTTAGCAGTTACCATCTGAGTCACCTGGTGGGTTTCTCTGGTCACTGGGTGAATGTCCGCAAGCGAGTTGGGACGCTGCTGCTCTCGCTCGCTGCCGTGTCCTCAGCACGGAGATGAGCGCGTTGCATTTGTAGATAAGAAACCAGATAAGGTTTCTGAATGGATGGGTGCCCGCACTCGGTGGTGATGCTGGGGGGCTGGGGACACATTGCCAAGCTGGTGGGGGTCACCCACGCCAAACTCCAGCATCGGATTTCTGCCTTCCCCACGTCCGTGAGTAGCTGTGACTCGTCCCAGGAGTGAGTCCCCGGGTGTGTCCGGCTGCCTGGTTAGGAGGAAGACTCCGACCTTAGAACGTGCCGCGTCTTGAGGGATGCGAGTGGGCTGGGCGCAAGTGCCCCACCTGCTTATGTTTTCCTGCCAATCCTTTTCTAGCCCCTGTGGTGCCGCCTGGCCATCAGGCGCCCTGCTGAGTGGGTACTGAACAGGCACAGGGGGCTGTTTCTTGTGAAGCCACCATTTTCAATTACGGCTCCAAACGGATGGGCTGGATCTGAGCTGCCAGGGGGCCCAGTCCATAAATTACTGTGCCACGGGGCAATTAGATGCTGCCCTAGCTGGAGTCTGTGCTGGGGGCCCAAGCGGCCAATTGAAGCCATTAATGTCCCATTAACAAGACGGATGCCTGGTGGCTGGGCTCTCTGTGTTTACCAGCCGGCCGCTGGGTGACTGGGTGCTTCTGACAGTGACAGATGATGCTGGCCACTCAGTGGCTAGTGATTTGTGAGGGTTCCTACCATGGCTCTGGCCCCCTCAGTGTGAGAGCCCCCAAGATCTCTGGCAGAGGAACAGCACGGGGCACAGGGAGCCCCAAATCTTGTATTTTGATTTTTTTCCCCTAAAGCCTTGATTTTAAGGCAAATGTAAAATAGGACGAGGAGGAGCAGAACCGCAGGGCCACTTTGCGGGCTCCTGAGAGCCCCCCCCCCCCCCGCATGCTGGCACAGGCCCGGGGCCATGCACAGTGCCGGGCTCCCAGCAGGAGGACCACTCAGGTGTCCCCATCCTGGGGCGTCCCCCTGGTGGCCTGGGGGCAGGATGGTCATTCCTCCAACAGGCAGTCACCGGACCCTGCAATACGCGAAGTGCAGAGGGGACAGCGGTGAACCAGACAGCCCAGATCTCTCGTGGGGCAAATGACAAGCATTATAAAGAAAATAAAAGTCCATCCATGGGATTGTTGAGGACTCGGGAGGCTGAGGGGCACTGCTTCTGGTGGGATGATTCATTAGGGATGTTATGAGATAGCTTAAGAGCAGAAACCTGTAAAAGGTTTGAGGCATTCTTGGATCTTCTGAGAAGAGAACGTGCAAAGGCCCTGGGGCTCCAGGCAGGAGCTTGGCGTGAGCAAGAGGCAGCAAGGGGGAGAAAGGCCACCGAGGGACAGCGGGAGGACCATGAGGGGCTCTGCAGCCCCTGGATACAAGTTGGGGTTGTATTTTACATGCTTTGGGAAGCCTTTGGTGGGTTTGAAGGTGGGGAGCGGTATGTTAAGCTTGACCTTGAACAGACACTTAAATACAACCGGTTGGTCGTGTTGTGGTGAACGGTTGCAGACTTAGGGAGCCTAAGCGATGAGAGGAACCTAAGGCCACAGAAGCGGTGACAGCAGCAGGGTTCCCCGTCAGGCAGCCCCCCGCCCCTCGTGCTGGGGCAGCCGCTGAGTCTCTCCTCTTCTCCTCGATTCAGAAACGAGGTCCAAGTTTGCCCTGCCGGCCGCTCCACACGCTTCTCGGCCTTAGAACTCAGACTTCAGAGACTCGTTCAGCCCCATTTCTATGGCGGATGGAAGGGTGACATGCTGAGTTCCCACACTCCCCTAACTGGTCAAGACTCCCTTCCTAAGCAGGACCCTTGCGTAGTTTTGTGACATTAATCTGTTAGTATCCCCGAAACGCCCCTGTGTGAAGGGCCTGGGTGCAGAGAGGCCATGTGCTCATCCCCTGATCATTCATGACGCACACGATGGGTGAACAGATAGGAAGGTGGCTAGAGAGAGATCCTGAGAACCTACTATGTGCTCGGCTCTGTTTTAGGCACTAGAGATACCCTGATGAGCACGGCAGCTGTAGCCCCTGCCCTACGATGGGTGGATGCTTAGAGAAGCCCGAGGTCTGTGTGATGAGGAAGGGCTGGCGGGGGAGGTGGGCACACTGTGCCAGAGAACGCGCTGGCACGGGCGCGAGATGCGCGGGGAGAGAGCCCTTGTCAAGGAGGCACTGAGGACTGCTGGCAGCAGGGGACAGATGGATGGAGCCAGCCCTCTCCGGACAGGATGAGAGACCAGACTTAAAAACAGTGAGTGGCTGAAAGGGTTGCAAGTAGGAAAGGAACAGGACCAGACTTCTTTAGAAAAATCTCAAAGACTTTGAGGCATAGGTTGAGTCCTTTTCAATCAATAGTATTATTTTAATTCCTGCGGTGTCGCAACCGGTCTCTGCGGATCCACGGGGTGGCGGACAACGCCAAGACCGCAAGTCTGGGCGGGACGGTGGCCCTGTAGAAATGTCCCAGCAGTCACCACTTCTGCTGCCCTGGGGGCCGCTCCTCAGCCCCGGGGTGTAGGCTCCGGTCCAAAGAGGGAAACGTGAAGCCAGCTGTGAACGGGTGTGTGTGACAGGCGTCCCTGGTCGATAGGAAGCACTTGGCACATGTGTCGAATAAAAGAGTGAGTGAGTGTCAAATAAAAGAGTGAGTGAATGAATGAATGAGAGTGGGGTCAGACTCCCTGGGCCCCCTCTGCCTCTCGCTGACCAAAACACGTTATCTGTCTGCTCTGAGCCTCACTTTGCTCATCTGTAAAACGGGGACCATGATAGTCTCCCCTTCATGGAGCTGCGAGTGGTAAACAAACTTATGCAGCCGAGCGTTCAGCCTCACGCCCGCACATGGAAGCTCCGGGTGCACCTCAGCCTGTAGCCCTGTCCTCAGAAAGAACGGACATGCAGGCAACCAGCTCCTGTCAACACGGCCCACGGGGAGCCTTCTCAGGTGGGAAACATGCGCCCCAACCTGCGCGCTCTCTCTCTCTTCTCCTCTCGATCTCTTCTCCTCTCCGTTCTCCTCTCTTCTTCTCTCTCCTCTCTCTCTCTCGATCTCTTCTCTCTTCTCCTCTCTCATCTCCTCTTGATCTCTTCTC